TCACTATATAGCGCGAGAAAAAAAAATAAAAAAAAAAAAAAAAAAAAAAAAAAAAAAAAAAAAAAAAAAAAAAAAAAACATATCAAAGGATAAAGAAGACGATATACAATTTTTGAGCAAGAAGGAACCAATGCAATGCAATTTCTTCTTTCCTGAAAGATCAAATTATAAAGCAAGTCGACTTTCTGTAGCAAGCAAGTTCAAAATTAAAACAACTAACAAGCATGAATGCGGAATTGCACCTAAAAAAATCTCACAATCAAACCCACACAAACCACATGTTGATGGAGAGACTTAAGAATATGGCAAGCCTTCGTATTCCATTGCAAGCAGCAACGGACTACAAAGAGGATTACTATAATAAAATATTCAAGGAAAACTGGCAAAAATAATTCAAGTGGGAGCTGGTAAACATGTAGCATGTGATAAAAGAAAAATAGGAACCTTTCTTTGCAGTCTTCTCCTTTTTGCTTCAAGCTTTTCCAAGGCTTCTTTCTTATCATCTTCTCTTGTAGAAAGCTGTCCCGCCAAATAGTTGCATTCTTGTCGCACCTATTGTATTTTGAGAAATAATAAATTATGTACTAGAAACTTGTTATTTTGCTAAGAAAGAATTGATAATTGCAATGGTATATTAATCTTCGACTTTTTAGTTACAGCTAGGATACATTCAGACACATCTAAATCACTATTCACTATCATTTGATGGCACAAAGATGCTGCTTCATACTAACCCTAACATATGTACCATAGCAGGAGAACCCATGTGCATCATATATATGCTTGTACTTTCTTCGAAAAAATGTACAAGTATGAGCATATAAGTTTGGACTTTAAACTAACTTATTGTTCTTAAAAAGAATAAACAGACATGAATTCAATACAAAGAACCGACCAACGGTAATAAGTAAACAAAATATCCAACATACCTGAATTTCAAGTTTAAGTGAGGATATCTTATCAGCTAACTGTGAATTCTTGTAATGGTATTTCATGGCTGGATCCAGATCATCACAGCTAAGCAAAAGGTTCAAGCGCAATGCCCCAAGGTGCAACCAAGCACGGCCAATATTAGGAATGCAGTCTACAAAAATAAGAAATGCAAAAGTCAAATTAAAATAGTAAAATAAGCAGGCAAAATAGAAGAGGAACCAAATATCCTACGATGAAAATGGAAGTTACTTCTAAGAACATTAAAACACATTCATATATATTTTTTATACAAGAGAATTGAAAAGCACATATATGAAAGTCCTACTCTTTTTAAGTGAGCAGGTATTATAATTTTGAATTCATTTGCAGGTGAACATCAATTGTCATACATCAACAACGTCAAAGAAAATGCTCTAAACCATTTTAAAGTCTACAAGCTCAAAATAATCAGCAGAAATATAATCACCAGTGGATGCGCAGTCATGACATAGCTCCCGGAGCAGTGGTGTGATATGCATATCCATTGATGTTTTCAAACCTTGATGACTTGAAGACAAAATACCGGATCTTATCTCCTCAAACTTCCTATTAAAGCTTTCTTTCTGTCACCATGGAGAAGTAGAGTGAAATGGTAAATAAAGGAACTAGTATATTCTTCCAATATATACACACGCGCGCGTGCATATATATATCACCATGCAACAAATATTTACTCAGTATCTGTAGGCACACATATGGTAAAACTAGATAGAAAATGAAATACTAGTTCTTTCTGGTGTTTGTTTAAGTGATTTTATGGAGGGGGGAAAAAAAGAACAATTTTACTTTCCGCATTTAGCTTTAGACAATCTTTGTTAAGTAAGTGTCATTAGGTAGACTTTAGTTTTAACAAATCAGCTTTGGAATTTAATTTTCAGGAGATGATAGTACGTTAATTTATTAGCACAATCCTGCACCCCTTTGTTCATTTCTTTTTATATTCTCCCAAGCTAAGAGAATTAAACACAGCTTGTTGCAAAAGCCTTGACAGATTTACAACTCGCATAAGAATGACTAAAATGACTTGTCTTACGCATTCATCTTTTACGCTTTTTAGAAGAACTAAAACAAAATGTATTCTGGGACACACTTAACCAAATAAAATCAAATCAAATCAAAGTACCTCAATCATATTTGTTGATAGTTTATGAACAATAGACTTGATATCTTCAAACTTATCAGCTTCAAAAGCTTTCTGGTGTGCATTTATAATCTGAAATAAAAAATAGCAAAACAGGATTAAAAAAAATATGCTGAGGAAGAAACTATGAATATTTCAAACTAAAAAACTTAACAACCTGCCCAAAAAGACACCAAGCAGCAGATGAAAGAAAACCAGGTAATTTTGATCCAGGTGAAAGGCTACGCCAGAGATTACACGAAGCTACTTTCAGCTTCAAGGAGCCCTCAAGATATTCCTTCACAGGTGTGGGACTTTGCCTGAACCCATCAAGGGAGGGAAAGAGAATATCGTCAAAACAAAATATTTATTTATAGAGAAATAATTTTGACCAAAGTGCTTTCTTATCTTTGATCCAACTTAAAGACATCATTGACAAAAAATTTATGACTGAGACCAGATGATGCATGGAGAATAACAATTTCTAAGAATAAACTAACAGAACAATTCACAATACTAGGAAACTCTAAATGGTGAAAACATCTTACAATATCTGGTAGACTGTATTCATCATTACAGGATGCAAAAGCATATCAGGTACCGGAATATCATAAGAATCAGCTCCCGATTTGGTAACAGAATCCTGCTGAGAGATTTCACTTGAATCCTGCATGGTTGAAGTCGTTAAACCATAAAACATGATATCATCATCGTTTAGCAAGCAGTTAATACGTAATAGATAGTAGTAACTTATACCTGGACAGAAACAGGGTGATAAATCCATAAAGATTGATGCCAAGTAAACCACATCTCAAGCACAAAATTGGCAACTTTAGCATTCACTGCAATACAGTGGAAGGTGTGAGCATATAGGACACAAGAGAGAGTCTCACAGAGAGGAGAAGAGAACTGTACTGACCTGAATCTACTGACGTCCATGCACCAAGTATCCACAAAAGTTTTTTATGTGGCGAAAACATTTGTGGGGGTCTAGATGAGCAGACCAATGAAAACCTCAATGCGGCCTCCAGATGTTTGGATATTCTAGTCAATTCCTGTCGTTAAAGAAAGTGGGATTTAGACAATGAAACACTGATATTGTTGCCGAAAACAAAAACCATTTCAATTTCGTTTAGGGCCCATTTGGATTGGCTTAAAAAAAGTTGCTTTCGGCTATTTAGTCCAAAAGCCGCTTTTGAACCTGTTTAAATGGACAACGTTAAAGTGCTTTTGGCTTTTTTAAGCACTTAAGAATAAGTCATCTCCTTTGTGCTTATGAAAAAAGTGCTTTTAAAAAGCTTTTTTATTTACATTTTTAACCTTTTATTTGTGAACAACAAATTAAATATGCAATCCATATCCTTTTATTATAATATTACTTTTTATAATAATAAGTGCTTTTGACTTTTTTAACCAAATAGGTTCAAAAGCTCTTTTTTTTTTCTTTTTTTTTTAAAAGAAGCGAGACTTTATTTAAAAAATTAACAAATTAACAAAAGAGAACTAGAAGAGAAGAGGAAGAGTTATCCTCAACCGAACCAAGCTCCCACTATATAGGACCGGCAGCATATAAGTAAACCAAAAACAGAACACCCCGGACAAATCTATAAAAAGTGACCCCAATTCCTAAGGAACTCCAAAAAAATTGGCTTCCTGAATTCTTTATCTCTATATACCCATAACGTCACCCAGTGTTTTATTTTATCCCAAAGAACCTCTTTGTCTTCCTTTTGGTTCTCAAAAATTCTATTGTTCCTCTCCAACCACAAACCCCAAAAAATAGCTAAAACCGCAGCCCTCCACATTATCAACCCCCTTTGACTATATCCAGAAGGAGGGGAAACGATTATCACTTCAGAACATCTTTCTGGAGTTGCCCAAGGGAAACCAAACTCCCTAAGTAAGAGAGACCAAATCTTTCTGGAATAAGTACATTGAAGAAACAAGTGATCAGTCGTCTCCCCATCATTCCTACACAAGTAACACCACCCAGGAGATATCGAAATAAATGGACTTCGACGTTGTAACGACTCATGAGAATTCACTTTGTTAAGGGCAATCAACCAACAAAAGACTTTAACTTTGTTGGGAGCCCGAGATTTCCATATATTTTCGAAGAAAGGGAATCGCAGAAATGAAGGATCACATGTCAATGAATTGAAAAGTGATTTGACTGAGAATATCCCGTTAGTGTCCGGCTTCCACACCCTGTTGTCTTGAATCACACTAAGAATTCTGACCCTCTCCACGATAGTTGTTAATTATGACACCTCCCTCAATTCTCTCTCCTTATGAACCCAAAATTCCACGAGCTAGCACTTAAGGAATTGTCTTCAGAGATAAATGTTAAAATTGGCTGCTCTTTTAATGAGGAAATCCTATATAGGGCAGGAAATCTTGAACACAAAGGTTCACCCTTGCTCCAAAAATCTTCCCAAAACCTAACAATGTCGCCCGATCCTATCTTCCATTTAGCCCTTTGGAAAAAATATTAGCCACCAAAAGAATTGATTTCCAAGGGCATTTATATGTCACTCTCAAAGCTTCCCCCGAGTCCCAACCATTCCTACTCAGCCCATACTTCCCAACGATAACCTTATGCCACAACACAACGCTTCTGGTTCCAGCGAAAACCGCCACAGCCATTTCGCTAGCAGGGCTTCGTTTTTCTTCCTAATGTTTCCGATTCTCAAACCTCCCAAGTCTTTTGGTTTATGCACCTGTTCCCAAGCCACCAAGTGAGACAAGTTATCATCTGAGAATCCCTCCCATAAAAAATCTCTCATTAGCTTCTCAATCGCGTCTGCCACTCCAACGGGAATTTTAAACACCGATAAAAAGTATATGGGTAAAGATGCTAAAACTGACTGAATGAGAGTTAATCTTCCTCCTTTAGATAAGAAAGCTTTCTTCCACCCATCCAATCTTCTCGACACCCTAGTAATCCCAAGATCCCAAAATGCAGCTTGCAAGGGATTTCCTCCCAAAGGTAATCCCAAATACTTGACTGACCATGACCAAATAGAACAACTAATAAAACTTTTCATAGAGCTCAACAATCTTCTTTATGATCTCCTCGTCATCTTCCAATATTGCCCCTTCTTCTATTTCCAACTTTGAGATTGTATTTCTTGTTCTCCTCGCACTTAACAATTTATGAAAGAGGTTCGTGTTCGCATCTCCCTCTCTAGCCCAAATAGACTTACACTTCAATGTCAAAGCCCTATCATCCCTTTCCATAAGGCTAAAAAGTCTTCGTTTTAGTCCCCTCCTCTCCTCTTGCAATTCCAAAACCCATTCGGGACTTCATTCTTTTCGATCTATCTCCTCAAACCTTTTTAAGATTTTCCTTTTCTCTAAGTGATCAGCCCCCAAATAGTCCACACTCCAACTTTTCACTTTATCTTTCAAAAGCTTCAATTTTCTAATTATTCTGTATCCCTCCCATCCACTAACTTCTTCCTCCTCCCACCATCCTTTCAAAAGCCTAATCAATTCTGTACTTTCAAACCAAGTGTTATCGAAATGAAATGGAGAAAACATTTTGATAGCCTAATCGGTTCAAAAGCTCTTTTTAAATATAAAGCACTTTTCAGGCACTATCCAGGCACTAATTAAAAAGCCCCAACGTATGCTCATCTTCTTCTACTACTTAAAATCACAAGCAAAAGTTATCCCAAACGGGCCCTTAGTCTAAAATAAACTCATCTGGACATCTATAAAAGTATATGGTTCACCAGCAACTCATCATCATCATTGTCGAAGACCTAGGGTTTTTTAAAGTTAGGAAATTATCTCTTAAGGAGATTATCATTCTAAAAGTTAGGAATTATCTCTTCCTTGATTCTGTTTTTAAATTTAGAAATCCGGATTGAATGTTTGATTAGGTCCGGATAAGGATGACTTGGAATCCAATTAGGATTTCATGATTATGATAGATTTTCTAAGTTAGTTTTATGCCTATAAATAGCTTCTACATTTCACATATTAATAATAAGAAAGTACGTTCTTTTTCTTCTAAAAAACTACATGGTATCAAAGCTAGCTCTTAAATTTTAATGGCAAATGTTTGTTACCATTTCTAAGAATAAACACCTCCTAGAAGTAGCTAGAGCACTACATTTCACAAATAAGGTCCCGAAGTATCTTTGGGGGGAAGCTATCCTCACAGCTACCTACCTTATCAATAGGATGCCAACTAGGGTGTTGAAACTCAAAACACCATTACAGGTATTTTCACGTTGCTATCCAACATCTAGGTTATCATCTACACTTCCTATAAAAATTTTTGGATGCACAGCCTTTGTACACATTCATGATCATAACCAGGGAAAACTTGACCCTAGAGCTCAAAAATGTGTTTTTGTAGGATATGCACCAACTCAAAAAGGTTATAAATGCTTTGATCCAATTTCTAAGAAAATGTTTGTTACCATGGATGTAACCTTTTTTGAATCTAAACCTTTTTTTGCTACTCATCTTCAGGGAGAGAGTACAAGTGAAGATGTAACCAAATTAGGAATTAATGATGTTTTTGATATTTTTGAAATAGATTCAACACATACTCCTAATATTGAGACTGAAAATTCGGATTCACATGTTAAAAAACCGGAAAATATGGATGGAACAAATGATGTTTTACATATTGAAGATTCCAGCAGTCTACTGCCATGTCAAAATCAGAATCTCGACAGCTCAGAAAATGGGAACAAGACTGGTACTAAGAATACAGATCTCTTGGTCTATTCAAGGAGGAAACTGAATTCAAAGAAACAAGGTCCCGATCCTCTACAAGGCCACGAGTCCAGACTGAGGGAAGAACCAAAACCAGGTAACAATCAATCTGATTCTTTGTTAAATTCCAATCCCGAGCCCCTTGGTGATTCCATACAGTCTATCCCTAGTGCTAGTACTGAGTCATTTGATGATCTCAATATTCCTATTGCCACCCGCAAGGGTGTCCGGTCATGCACTAAACATCCCATGTCTAACTATGTGTCCTATAAGAATCTTTCTCCTTCATTTTTTTCATTTACCTCACATCTCACTTCTGTGGAAATTCCAAAGAATGTACAAGAAGCTTTACAGGTTCCTGAGTGGAGGAAAGCTATTTCTGAAGAGATGAAAGCACTTGAGAAGAATCACACATGGGAAGAAACGAATCTGCCGAGAGGGAAGAAAACAGTTGGCTGCAAATGGGTGTTCACCATCAAGTATAATTCTGATGGATCTCTAGAAAGGTATAAAGCACGGTTGGTGGCTAAAGGGTTTACTCAAACCTATGGCGTTGATTATCTCAAGACCTTTGCTCCGGTGGCAAAGCTGAATACCGTAAGAGTACTTCTTTCAATTGCAGCAACTCTTGACTGGTCGCTTCAACAGTTAGATGTGAAGAACGCATTTCTAAACGGAGAATTGGAAGAAGAAGTTTATATGGATCCACCACCTGGATTTGATAAGCACTTTGGTTCTAAGGTGTGTAAGCTAAGAAAATAACTTTATGGGCTCAAACAATGCCCAAGAGCCTGATTTGAACGATTCACTCAGTCTATCAAAAATCAGAGATATGTCCAAGCCCAAAGTGACCACACTATGTTCATCAAGCACTCCGATGATGGGAAAATTGCAATTTTGATAGTCTACGTAGATGATATCATCCTTACTGGAGATAATTCTGCTGAAATGAGTCATTTGAAGGAAAGTCTGGCTTCAAAATTCGAGATCAAAGACTTGGGATCTTTAAGATATTTTCTGGGAATGGAAGTTGCTCGTTCAAAAAAGGGTATTGTTGTCTCACAAAGGAAATACGTCCTTGACCTCCTTAAAGAAACAGGAATGAGTGGGAGTAAGCCTGTTGATACCCTAATGGACCCTAACTAGAAGTTAGGAGATGCCAAAGATAGAGATCCGGTAAATACAACACGATATCAGAATTTGGTAGGAAAACTAATTTACCTATCTCATACCAGACCAGACATTGCATTCGCAGTTAGTATAGTAAGTCAATTCATGCACTCACCATGTGAAGAACACCTTGAGGCAGTATATCGAATCCTGAGGTATTTGAAAAGCACTCTAGGGAAAGGACTCCTCTTCGAGAAACACGAGCAAAAAACAATTGAAGCATACACAGATGCAGATTGGGCGGGTTCCGTCATAGACAGAAGATCTACATCTGGATATTGCACTTATGTTTGGGGAAACTTAGTCACTTGGAGGAGCAAGAAACAAAGTGTAGTAGCTCGAAGTAGTGCAGATGCTGAGTACCGGGCAATGGCTCATGGAGTATGTGAAATGTTGTGGTTAAAAAGGATTCTTGAGGAATTGAAGAAACCAATAGAGATGCCTATGAAACTCTATTGTGACAAGAAGGTTGCGATCAGTATTGCTCACAACCCAGTGCAACATGACAGAACTAAACACGTTGAAATTGACAGACATTTCATAAAGGAGAAGCTAGAAGAAGGTGCTATTTGTATGCCGTTTGTTCCAACAACACAACAAATAGCTGATATTCTCATGAAGGGATTATTCAGACCAAGCTTTTTAATTTCTTATCAGCAAGTTGGGCATGATAGATATCTATGCAACAACTTGAGGGGGAGTGTCGAAGACCTAGGGTTTTTTAAAGTTAGGAAATTATCTCTTAAGGAGATTATCATTCTAAAAGTTAGGAGTTATCTCTACCTTGATTTTGTTTTTAAATTTAGAAATCCGGATAGAATGTTTGATTAGGTCCGGATAAGGATGACTTGGAATCCAATTAGGATTTCATGATTGGGATAGATTTTCTAAGTTAGTTTTATGCCTATAAATAGCTTCTAAATTCCGCATATTAATAATAAGAAAGTTCTTTTTCTTCTAAAAAACTACAATCATCATCTTCGTCATCATCGTCATCATCGTCATTATTGTTATTATTGTTTTGATAGAAAGCTAAGAAAACTCCATTAATAAGGTAAGCTTTACAAAAGGGGAAAAAAAAAAAATAGAGAGAGAAAAAAGGGGAAAAAATCATTTTTTACCATGTATTATAGCAAAACATTGAGTTGGTACCTTGTGTTTTTCATAATACTAAAGTGGTACCCTTAAGTTTTAGAAAACATTTTTTTGGTACCCTGAACCTATAATTTTGGGACATGAAATGGCAGATTTACCCAAGAACTCCATTTTTTCCCCTCCATAGACACATTTTAGCTAGCTCCCGCTTTGTTTATACCCTATAAATGGGTTGCCCAAGGAAACGACTTCATTTAGCAATATGTAGGAGTTGTGTTTGTTACAGGTTTATGAATATTTTTTAGGTGTTATTTTTTGTTAAATAGAAATTTAGACTAGTCCAATATTAATAAAGAGCAAATTGGACAATTTATGTCTCAAAAAATAGGTTCAGTGTACTAAAAAATGTTTTCTAAAACTTGAGGGTACCATTTTAATATTATTAAAAACACAAGGTGCCAACTCAATGTTTTGGTATAATATAAGGTGTCAAAATGATTTTATCCAAAGAGGGGGGTGGGGGGTGCGCGTTTGGACCAAATGTAAGTGATTTACTAGAAAAGTTCACATGAGCCCATTAGTGACTTGATAAAGGGAGATTGAGGGAAATAAGCCAAGATTTGAGAGGAACTGAAATTAATAGGCTAATGTTTAAAAAAAGTTAATAAATAGGCCAATGAAATGTAAATCTGGATTTACAACTAGCTAAACTTTCAAAAATACCCTCTTGGTAAATCCTGAATTTACCATTTATATCCAGAATTTACCATTAGAATTTTCACTTTTTCCCACTAACATGAACTTGGTAAATTGGAGATCGTGGATTTACCAGGTATGCAGCATTTACTATTAAAATTTGTAGTGTTCTTTTCCGCTACTAATACGACTTGGTAAATCCACAATTTACCATTAGGATTTTCACTTTTTCCCTAGTAATATAAACTTGGTAAATCAAGGATTTACCAGGTATATCTGAATTTACCATTAGAATTTGTAGTGTTCTTTTCCCCTACAAATACGAACCTGGTAAATTTAGAATTTACCGGGTATATTCGGAATTTACCATTAGATTTTTCTCTTTAAAGTCATAATACAAACTTGGTAAATCCGGGAGGTATATCCGGGATTTATCATTAGATTTTTCACATTTTTTCTACTAATATGAACTTGGTAAATCTCGTACCATGTATATCCGGAATTTACCGTTAGAATTTGTAGCGTTCTTTCCCCTACTAATATGAACTTGGTAAATCCAGGATTTACCAGGTATATCCGAGATTTACTATTAAATTTTTCACTTTTTCTGTACTAATACGAACTTGATAAGTCCTAGATTTACCAAATACATCCGGGATTTAGTATTAGAATTTGTACATTTTTTCCCTAGTAATATGAGCTTGATAAATCCTGGATATACCTAGATTTATCAAAGCAAAAGGAAAAATAGCAAGGAATTGAATAAAATTAAAAATTAAATGGTCTATTAATTTCTATACATTGGTAAATTGGCCATTTACTTCCATAAGTTTTTAAATGTAGGCCTAGTTCGTACAATTTCCCCTTGATGAAGGCAACATAATCTGTAATTTTAGGTAATCTTAGCGGTTTCTATTAATTTAATAAAAAAGAGACACGTAATCTTACCAGGTTTAATTTTGGAGAATCAACCAAAAGAGCACATGATAGCTCCTGAAGCAACTCCATATCCAAGTAGAAGCTTGTTATGTCAATCAAAGGAAGTGTATCTTGCCAACTATAAAAACCGGATTTACGGCACAATATCTCAGCAGTGTAAGAACAAAAGGCAGGATAATGCTCGTCCGAAACTTCAAGCTTATTATGCTGAAAAATCTTCTTGCAATTATATTTTGCGAGTTCAAAGCATTTCTTAAACTCCTGCATAAAATTATATATATTGACCGTCATGTAAGGTGAATGGAGGATATACTTTTAGCAAAGATATATATATAATTGAAAAAAATATATATCTACACACACACACACACACACACACACATATCAAAGTACAAGTACAGCGTGAAGGCTGCTCACCTCATAAATTTCATTCAACTGCTGAGAAGCATTCACTTCATTCGTAATACTTGGCAACTTGGAAATACCTACAAAATTAAAGGTGGCTAATTATAAATATATATATATATATATGTATATGTATATACATTTACAAATGTATATATCTAAGACATCGCTCCAATTTTAAAAAAATGGTCGGAGAAGCATATGGATTACCTTCCACTGCCAGGATGCGAAGTCTGGGATGGGATGACGCAACGATTTCAATCAGACAATCTCCTAAATTTAAAACAATGATAAGCCCAAAAAAGTCGGAATAGAAAAGTGAATGTCAAAAGACATAGTAAGATATCTTCACAGAAAATAATAATGATAAGAAACATAGATTCCATATAATCATACCAGGGTTTTCTGATTCTGCCTTTTCCTTATTGCATATCATTGACTTCGTCTTTGTTGGCCAAAGCAACTCACAAAAGTTCAAAAGCTGAAGCTGCTTATAAAATAAATCAGCAGATGAAGGTAAAACAGGATGACCACCATAAGCCCACAGCAAGGACTTCTCTGAATGTAAACGCCAAGTAAAAACCTTCTCCACATTCTTCTTGCTCTCCTCCTATGCCAAACAATATAAAAACTCGTCAAACTCACTGTACATTACAGGAAGATGAGAAAGGGAAAAATGTTATAGCTACCAGCAGATGATGAACAGCTTCTGGACAGATATGCTTTAATTTTGCAGCATTCTTCAGCAACGAACGCCAAGGTATTAGCAACCGTTCCAAATCTTCTTTTGGATTCTTTATCTTCTTGACGTTAATAAATTTTTTCTCGACTCCATTCCAAAATAGTATGTGGTCTTCTAGAATATTTACATATGTTTCAAGGTTTGCATGAAATAATGGAGACTCTATGAGATTGACAGGTGGATAAACAAGTTTCTTAAGGAAGTCCTCCTCCAACATCTGCAGAGATCTTAACATGTCTTTGAAAGGGACTTCCTTGTTATTCTCAGCATGTTCAATCTCATCATCCCACTGTTTATAAGTAAGCTTCAAAGGATGCACGCAGTTAATAGCATTACAAAGTAACTTTTTCTTTTCATCGTCTGTAAAGATCTCATCAACCAACTCGATTGATAGCATTGGTATTGGAAGCTTCTTAGAATCATCTAGCTTTGCCAACAGCTCATTGTAGCGGCGAGTCATATCCTTCCAAATAGGATGGTCCATAATCTTTTCAATTAAATCAGAGAACTGAGATAAGAGTTGGAACTTAGGACTAAAGTTGTTAAACCATAGAAGATAAAGCCTAAGGTCAGTCTCAGGGGCCTGTTCAATTGTCCAGCTGGCAGCAAATAATAACTTCTTTTTAGCCACTTCAAAGTCAAAACTCTCCCAGAAGTTTGAAGTCGGTAACTTTGGATCGCTAGGGAACATATATTGACATAACATCTTCACATCCATCAAGCAAGGTTCTATATTTTCACTAGCAGCTGAGTTTGGGTGTATATTGCATCTTTTCCCTCTCAATCCATATGATGCGCACTGAGCCACCAAGTAGTCAAGATACATGCAGTTCTGTTTTACAGTACACTCTCTCGAGTATAACACAAAATCCCTCAATTTCAGTGGCTTTGGCCATCCTCCAGGCAAACACAAAGATGATGCCAGTAACATGCAAGATTCAAACAATCCAGTAACCGATAGATAAGCATCTTTTGCATGGCTAACAATACTTCCTCCATCCGCCTCACCAAATGATGAAAGATATATGTGCTCCCAACTTGTTTGAAGGCTCCAGATAGGCTGATTACCATTCATAATAAGTTGCTGAAACAACTGAACCCAGCGAGAAAGTTCAAGATACGTTATTGAAACATTAAAATGCAGGCATTCCTTTCTAGCATAAACATGCGCTCTGGACATTGCTTGCACCATGCTATCAGTGGGAATACCTGACAGAATAAGAAATCTGTTGACATCTTTCAGTTCAAATTCATCACACGTGAATCCACTAGACTCGTCCGGCAGCCAACATGGCTGCATCAAAAATATTTCAACTCCTCTATTTCGCATTGCTCGGGACACTTCACCATAACTAGGATTAACAGTGAGGAACATGCGGAAGTTAGGGTGTGGATGGAGAATAACTGGCTTTCCATCAACAATACCACACTCATTTAATGTAATTGATCCTGACGGCTCCACCAAAGAGTTAATCCTATCAAGAACCTATACACAATTTTTCAAGAAAATTGTTAGATGACAGATAATCAGATTATGTAAGGTGTACGCACTAGGTAGTTGATAAAATGGGATGCAAGTACAAAACGGATAGAGGAAGAAAGAAGTCTTGTCTTTAGAGAAGTTTACTTACTGTGGGATTACAACAATTTGCATTCTCTAGTACAATCCACTCCCCACGCTCAACAGCGTTAACTAGTAATCCTGCAACCCATTCAAATTTTGCTGAAAATGACCCTTTCTTATGGCCTTCTAGCAACTTGTCAATTGTTCTCGTGGCTCTATCAATTGTCCTCTTGGCTCTATCAAGTTCTTCGTCTGACCAAGATAGGGCAGTTTTATTTCTCTCCAAAATCAACTCGAGTTGTCCTATGATCTCCTTTAACAGAGTAAGAGAAGTGATAAATCTCTTCCTAGCTTCAATGTTCCGAGAAGTAAAACATGAGAGAAAATCATCGTTTATGCTAGATGAAAAAGCAAACCATTTGGTGATAAAACTTTCACTTGCAAAATCTCTCTTTGAATAACAATATTCATTAATATAGCACTGCATTTGAGCAACAACAGAGCGAAAGTTCCGGATAGCATTGAATTGCTCAAAGCATCCGAGTATTTCAGATATATCCGTACCAGATGAAAGATGTAATTCATTTAGTACATTGCCAGTGAGCTCTGCCAGTAACCTAATTAATGAAGTCTTACCAGATGATGCTGGACCAACTAAAATACACAACCATTGATGCTCTATACATTGTGCTGCAGCTTCCAAACTTTGACGAATTCCAGGCAAAATTTTTAGTGAACTGCTTTGAACTTTAGATGACTGAATTCGATTTCTTTCTATTGCAGTATTGCCAACAATCAAATATCTTGGATCGACTTGGACTCGCGGGTAAGGATTTAAACATGGCTTCACCCCAAACGTCTGCTCATACAGATGAATGACTTGTCTGCGGTCAGCTTCTGTACGCATCCTTTGAACATAAACTAAGTTAAGGAAGCAATACTCCTTTGTCTTGTCAGATGCACCTAAACGGTAGAAACAGATATTAGAAACTTAGTATCATTCTCTAGAACTACAATGTATTGCCAAACAAAAATAATAAAAAAAATGGAGGCTGATCAAACCCTTTATGATTTCACATGATCGAATCACATCTCGCAGATTAAATTCCCAAGGAGAACCTTCTTGAGCAAACTTATGATACAACATGGTGTCCTCATACAACCGTTTATTGAATGAAATTAGCTTGTCAAGTACATCCCCAGGTATTGATGGAAAGCATGATCTACAGATGAATTTATAGTCATCATCAACCAACTCATCCACGTAAACCTGCAACAAGGGAGATAATTTATAACCACATCCACATATAATGTGTGACCTGTAAGCACAAGCTCACACAACTTGATTCCTTGCCAAACTAATAGTGAAAGGAAAGGAAAAAAGAGCGGGGCTGGGTGGGTGGGTGGTGTGGTGGGGAAGTACCTTGGCAAAACGGTTGAGAAAGGATTTAGGAAGGCCTTTTCTGCCACACCCTTGATAAGTGGGATTTTGACAAGCAAAAATTCTGAAGGAAGGTGGACACTTGAATGTACGACCAATCTCTGGTATAAAGACCTCAGCTCGATGATCCAGAATAGCATTCAAACCCTAATAAAGATTCAATATCTTCAGCGTCAGAAACAAAGTACATAAACAGAAGTGTGAGCATTAAGTGTTTTTGTTAAACGAAGAACAAAAGAACAAATAATTGGAAAGAAATAATCAGAGAGTTTATGGCGATGCCTCTAATACAGATTGTGGAGCAAGATTCAGTTCATCAAGCAAAACCCAGCAACCCTCCTTTAGAGCCTGCAATATAAGCATATTGAAAAAAAAAAAAAAAA